TTGGCACAGAGGAGAATCAAAAAGGTATATATAACAATCTTTCGAGGTCTTTATTATGGAGGAATTCATCAGAGGTTTTGATATGCGGAACAAAAGAGATTCAAAAGGATAAAAAAAGGGTATAACAATATATAAGAAGATGGTAAACACCGGTGGATCATTGAAATTCAAAATTTTTTAATTATTTATTTTATTAATGATATTCATCCTGGAGTTTTATTTGTGTCTACCGCATTTAAATTTTGTGTATTTGACATACGTATACCCACCCTGAAATTTTATTTGTGCCTACTCCATTCAAAATTGGGGTAAATTACACGTGTAATACCTAAACTATCAGTTTTGGTTCGTTTTAGTACCTAAATTTTTAATTTTTCAAAATCATACCTAACGTTTAGTTTTCATTTTATTTTATACTCCGCCGTTAAAAACTTAACGCATTTAGTACCTAACTATCAGTTTTGGTCTATTTTAGTACTTAAACTTTCAATCTTTTCAAAACATAATGTTAAAATTTGAACATGGATACTAAAATCAGAGATTCAAATTTTGAACATGGATACTAAACATAATGTTAATAGACATGCCTTGGTGAAGAAGTCTTCTTTGGAGGCTTCAGTTTCGAGGGTTATATAGTTGAAGAGGTGTCCCACAGCCCTTTGGCCGTAGTGAATGATATAGCGGCGGAGATCAGGATCAATAGTTTGAAGAAGACCTTCCCAGTTCTTCTCGCCGCTCAGTTCTCTCAAATGCCTTGCTATTGAGGTGTCCATCTCTCTTTTTCTCTGTTTTGACCGTAGTGAAGAAGGCCATGTATTCCTTACATCTAGATGATAAAAAGGGTAAATTACACATTTAGTATCTAAACTATTAGTTTTGGTTCGTTTTAGTACTTGAACTTTTAATTTGTTTCAAAATTTAACGTTAAATTTTAAACAGGGGTACTAAAACGAAACAAAAACTAAATTTTAGGTATGATTTTAAAAAAAAATGAAAGTATATGTACTAAAACGGATCAAAACTAATAGTTTAGGCACTAAACACGTAATTTACCCTAAAAATGCATAATGTTAAAATAATTTAGGATTCTTATTTTTTAGGGTAAACTATGCATTCAGTACATAAACTATCAGTTTTGGTCAATTTTAATACCTAAACTTTCAATTTTTAAAAAATCATACCTAAGATTTAGTTTTCATTTCATTTTAGTACCTCGCCGTTAAAAACTTAACGCGTTTAGTACCTAAACTATCAGTTTTGATCCATTTTAGTACCTAAAGTTTAATTTTTTTCAAAACTTAACGTTAAATTTTGAACGAGTACTAAAATGAAACAAAAACTAAACTTTAGGTATGGTTAAAAAAAAATAAAAGTTTAGGTACTAAAACGAATCAATACTGATAGTTTAAGTACTAAACGTGTAATTTATCATACTTTTTAAATGTTTCAACTCCTAAAGTTTTTTATTTTAGACTGAAATGATCATCTAGTAGATGAAACTGATTAGTTAGTTAATTAATGATTAACATTTGTCGTTGGAGTGAAAAGTACTATGAATCCACAATGATGATACCATATACACATAAGTGATGATACCACGTATATATAGATAATGATGTGACAATACTATATGTTTAAATTGATGATGTGTCATATGTCATATGTACAAAGTAATGACATGACATATGCCACGTGTATATAATAGTAATAATAATTATTAAAAATTTGTATAAATTAGCTTGTTAATTTAAGAGAAACTTTTAATTAACTGGGAATCAATGTATAATTAAATTGATTATTTACATATTTTATTAATTTAGTTTTACTTTTAATTTAATAAATTTATTCTTCTTATCTAGTGAGGACACATCTGAATAATTAAGTAATGAAGATCAAATGTATAATTATATCATTTTTGGTAATTGTCATGTTAACTTTTTATCGATTATTAACGAGAAGTGGCTTGATTGACATCATTTAAATAGTTAAATAATTTAATGAATAAAATTAAAAGATTTACGATTAAATTAATATCTATACAGTCTTGAAAGATACATTTGTTAATTTTAGAAAATAACTGCATGAAAATATTATCACTTTGTCATTTTCTAAACAAGAGTTGAAAAATTTATAGTATTCAAAAGTAAATAAATTAACTAAAATATAAATAAATATTAAAGTTCCAATAGTATCTATAACAAAGTCCAACCACACACAACAAAACAAATAGATCAAAAATATAAAAATATTAAAGTGAAAGTAAACGATAGAAGCCAATAAATTGATCCAACAAATTTTGCACTTTATTATTTTCCTAAAAATAATAAAATGATTAGGTGAATGATAAATATCGAAAACATATCTATAAATTCTAGGTTCATATTTCGGGTGGGGATGATTTTTTTCGGTTTCCAAATTTTCATTTTGATTAATTTAAATCGATTTATGGGTCGCACACTTGATTTTGATGGATGAATCTTTAAACATAAATTAATCTATACCAATCTCATTAGTGGGATGAATTTGACAAGTACATATCATGTTAATCTTATTCATTAGTTTAATCTGAATACGATTTAATTCGATCCATACTTTTATCGTCAATGTTCTAAAACTAGATTAGCGATGGAACAAGTGAAATCATTGGTTTTCAATTTAACTAATAAAATTACTAGTTCAATATTAATTGTTTAACTAACAATTAATTAGTTTAGTAAGATGAAGCAGTAAATTTGTTAAGTAAAATCATGTGTTTGTATCCTGACATTGTAAATGAAATAAATCGGATTGGGAGGATTCTCACATAATAAATCTATACAATGTCAGATCCGAATTAATCAATTAATATATCAGATATCAATAATTAATTTGAAATATTAATAATAATACTAATAATTCTTTAAAAAATCTCCAACTAGAGAAAACATCAATACCATACCTAATGGCTCTTATTTATACCATAACATAATATGTATATATAAGGACCAAGGAGAAGTTGTTGTCATGAGAAGTCGACTTCTAATTAAATGAATTAATGAGTTAATTGCATCACATGTCTATAAATTATAACTCTCATTTTAAAGTAGTCTTTAAACTTTTAAATATTCTAATTTCATCCCTAAACTATGATCTATTTCTAAATCGATCCTCAAATTTTTGAATATTACAATTTCATTCCCAACCCTCAAATTTAAACTTAAAAATTAAAAATAGCAATAATTAAATTATAGGTAAAGCATACAAATGGTCCCCTGACTATAAGATATTGCTTTATTAAGTCCCTTGACTATTAAAAGTTACATAATGATTACTTGACTATTTATTATATTTTAAAATCGTCGTTTTTATTAAAAAATTAAAGATCGTTTGAGGTGAATGTTAACATGTTGACCGAGATGTGATAGTCATTTGAGATTATGAGATCAAATTTTATCATATCCCAGTCAACAGATTAGCGTACAACTTAGACTACCATCAAAATTTTAATGAAAAAAAACGAGTTTGAAACATAATGAATAGTCAAATGACTATTTTATAACTTTTAATAGTCGGTGGACTTAACAAAGCAACTTCCAATAGTCGGGGGACCATTTTATAATTTTTAATAGTTAAAGGACTCAATAAAATAATATCCTATAGTTTGGGGATCATCTGTGTATTTTACCCTTAAATTAAATAGCTTTTAATTTAATATGGACCTAAACTACCATTAGACTAATAAATTTGAGGGTGTCCGGGCTCCTCCCATGATACATGTAGATCCATCCATGGGTTTAGCATCATGTTTATATTGTATCATAATTTATCTTATATTTCACGTATTAAGTCATTTAATCTAAAAAATATAAATTGCATAAAAAATCTTAAAAAATATATATATTTGTTAAAAGATGTTGGTTCCATAAAATAAAGACATCAATTTTTCCTTAAAAACGATAACACACACAATAATTACTATATAAAATCATTTTAAATATATTTTATATTTATTTTAGGCAAAAAGGCATAACATACCCTTGTATTTTTGAAAATAACCAATGTAGTCCTCGTATTATTTTTCTCTCAATGTTGCCCTCCAACTCAAAACATAAACTCCATGTAACCCCTTGACCAACATTTTTTCATCGTTGATCGTTACAATGTCAATCACTCCCTCGTATTGATTAATTTGTTTTAAACGAAGACATTTTTATGTTTTAAATATATCATCGAATCGAATATAATGTTAAATTTTATTAAATTATTAATTATTAATTTGTTTAAATTATACTTCAACAACATGATTTTTACCTCGTCCCGAACATACCTATCAAGCCACGTTAGCTTCTTCTTCATGTAGAAAACCAAACTTTGGAACCATTTTAAACGTGATTTTTACCCCGCCTATAATGCCTTGTATGTAAACTAATAATAATCATTAATTTTATTAGATAAAGAGTAAATATTTTAATTCACAACAAGAATTTATAATAATAAGAGTAAACTAATCACATAAGTCAAGCATTTGATCTAAAATCATCGAAGTACGATGAAGAATCATTTGTCGAGGATGAAGATAAATACTATAAACACTAACATAAAAATGTATATAACAATGATGGTTTATTGACAAAGTGATATTACTATAATTTAATCTTTGGTGATTGTGAGTACTTTCTAATATTTGATCATGTAATTTGGGGATCTAAACAAGAGAAATTAACAAAACAATCAAATAAGAGCTACATAATATTACATAAAATCCAAAAATTATAAGAAAGATTATTCTAAACCAACTATAGTTCATCTAGTCACCATTGATTAGCTAAAACAATTAGAAAATTATATTTTAATTCTTAAAACATTGATATTTTACTTCTAATACAAAAGATTTCCTATATTAATGCTTAGAACGAGGAAATAAACCAATAAATACATAAATAAAAGAGAGCATAACGTGAACATAATTGAAAACATCAAACAAACGTAAGATCTTTTAATACATTACATAACAATGTAGTTTAAGTCTGATCCAACTCGACCTTCCAACGACCATTGTCTAGCTGAACCATCATTCTGCGATTCTCGCCTTTCCACCATCTCGGGGGAATTTCGTAATCGGGAAGCACACGATTGAAATATTTGTTCACGAGTGCTATATCATGATCTAGTTCCTCCGCCGTGACGGTGTCGGCGATGTCTTTGATGGCAACCCCATGCAGATATACATCCATATTATGACAACTATAGTTTTCTCCAAGCTTGCTGGTATCGATGTACACTGATTGTCTAGGATCAGCTGCCTGAGAGAACATGCAGATGACTTTACGTATATCTCCATCTTCAGATCCCATTATGGTATGATGATCATGTTGATCTCCATAGTCATGATCGTCATGGTACTCCGTGCATTTAATTTCATGATTGTCACCATCTTCAGAGCCCATGATGATGAGTTCTTGTCGGTCTAACTCTTCATCTTCATATTCCATGCGGTCAAGTTCATCTCCATCTCCATCTTCATCTTCATATTCCATGCGGTCAAGTTCATCTCCATCTCCATCTCCATCTCCATCTCCATCCCCATCTCCAGCTCCATCTCCATCTCCATCTCCATCCCCATCTCCAGCTCCATCTCCATCTCCAGCTCCATCTCCATCTCCATCTCCATCTCCATCTCCATCTCCATCTCCATCTCCATCTCCATCTCCATCTCCATCTCCATCTCCATCTCCATCTCCATCTCCATCTCCATCTCCATCTCCATCTCCATCTCCATCTCCATCTCCATCTCCATCTCCATCTCCATCTCCATCTCCATCTCCATCTTCATATTCCATGCGGTCAACTTCATCTCCATCTCCATCATTTATATTTTTGCTCGGCCAAACTCGACTCATTATTAAGAGCAAAAATGGTGACCAACTGGGCTGAAGCACCATGAACGCCACCAACAATACAATACATAGCCAACGCAGCCAACGCCAAGTGTTATCTTCTTCTTCTTGTCGTTGTAAACGCACCGCACAACAAAAAACCTTGAAGTTTAAGTACTTTGAGACGGAGGTGTTAACAACCAGCTTATTTCCGACGCCGGTGAATATTAACGGGGGCATATTAGGGATGAAATCTTTTTCATTTTTTATACGAAGAAGACGAAGGTGATCAAGACCGAGCGTATTGAATACACGTTTCAAACCATCGTTCCCAACGCGTGGACCACCAAACGTAAACGCTGTGACCATGAAGGGCTCACCTTTGGGTGGCTTGTTATATCCATTGGCGGCTATGTCCATTGCGGTTAGCGTCGCAAGTGCTGCACCTAAACTAAAGCCTGTTACTGTTATGCTCATTTCTTCATGTGTATCATTTTGGTACTTGTCCACAAGTTCCTTTACCGCTTCCAGGACCTATATATATGGAGAGAGAAAAGCAACAAGAAATCAATAATTGTTTCGCATGTATTTCATCCTTTATGATTTGGATGGAAAATTACAGTAACAATTAAATAACCATAGGCTAATTAAACAACCATAGGCTAATGTTAATATTTTCTCTTTTCTAAATAGAAAAGATGGGTGTGGGAATATAAAATACCGATCCCTTCCTCTCGATTTTAATCAAAAAGTTTTGTAGTAAAAGTTTTGTAGTAACCTTTAATACTAATGTGATCATAAGTTAATGATAACTATTTATAGATTGGTAGGATAGATAAGTTTGCTTGATGTACTCAGCCATCGATTGATTCTGACATATAAGTGAAACCCGTTAAAGTTCATGTTAAAAGAGTTGTGGTTTCTTGAAGGGTATAAAGCTCCGGCTGCTTTGAGTCCGAAGATGTTTTTGTGGTGTCAGACTAAGTCAATGATTAGGGGTGTAAATGGATAGATAATTTGGTGAAATGTTCGTGAACTGTTAAGTTTACCGTTTGTATAATTTTTGTTTATGATCATTAATTAAGCTAAATAAACGAAAATATGAAAAAAAAATTATGTTCATTTAATAAACGAACGAACACGAACAGAGGTGTATTTGATTTATTTATGTTTACGAATAAACTCGTTTATAAACTCAACTAGAAGCTTGTTTAGAAGCTCGTTTAGAAGCTCAACTAAGCTCGTTTATTTTTTCACGTTTTGAATATTAGTGAAGGTACATACTAAATTGGATATATGATAAAATTTGGAGTTTAAACGATGAACCCTAAAAGTTTAAGAACTAGTTATGTTGTTTTACCATTTTCCCTATAATAACACAAACAAAACCTTTTCTCATCTCTCTTTTCTCTTTTTATTCTTATTCTAAACCAACGTTTTCGCGAAGGTTAAACGAACACGTTCACCTACATTTAAACGAACATGTTTGTGAACATTAAATAAATGAACACGATATTAAAAGATTAATCGAACATGAACACTTTAAAAATGAACAAACAAACATGAACCGAAATACTTTAAAAAATAAACAAACGAACACGAATACAACCTTATCCGTTTAAGTTCGATTCATTTATATCCCTATCAATGATTATTATTTTTAGGTATTTAGGATGAATAAGTTTACTCGATATAATCGGCTCTCGATTGATTCTGACGTATCAAGTGAGACCTGCTAGAGTTATGTCAAAGAAAGTACCTGCTCTCTTGCACTAGTTTTATTATGAATAGAATCTGGCCTTGTTCCAGTATAAAGAAAGTAGAAGCCCCGGTGCAGTTGAATTTTAGTCCGGTCCGGAAACATCTGCGAAGCACTAACTCGTGGCCCAACGCGGAAGTTATTGAGCCACTCCGATTTCGTTCTGGTTCCTCTCCAAGCAACCAAGATGTCTCTCCTGCCCAGAACGCGCCTCCCTTCGTCGGTGGCCACCGCCACATATCCGATCCATGCGGACTTTACACTATCCGAGCCGGCATAGATGAACCGGGTCACTTCATACTTGTATGGGTTTCCTTTAACCAGACATGCCTCGGAGAAAAAGTCTTCTTTGGAGGCGTTAGGGTTTAGGGTTTTACCGTTGAAGAGGTCCACCGCGGCTCCGGTCATTTGGCCGTAGTGAATGATATAGCGGCGGAGATCGGGATCTAGAGGTTGAAGGAGGCTTTTCCAGTTGTCCTCGCCGCTCAGTTCTCTCCAACGCCTTGCTATGGATCTGTCCATCACTCTTTTTCTATGTTTTCCCCCTAAATTTTGTCGTGTGCTGTGCATGAGACGACTCCAACAGCCATGTAACCGTCCCATTTAAAAAACCAAGGCAAGTGGCTTATTTTATTCTGTACATCTAGTTGATAAAAAAGGGTAAAGTACACAAATGGTCCCTTAACTATAAGGTATTACTTTTTTGAGTCACTCGACTACTGAAAGATACAAAATGGTCTCTCAACTATAACATATTGCTTTGTTGAGTCCCTCGACTATTGAAAGTTACAAAATGGTCCCTCGACTATAGGGCATTGCTTTGTTGAGTCCCTCAACTATTGCAAGTTACTAAATGGTCCTTCGACTATAAGGTATTGCTTTGTTGAGTCCCTCGACTATTAAAAGTTACAAAATGGTCCCCTTACTATAGGATGTTGCTTTGTTGAGTCCTTCAACTATTGAAAGTTACAAAATGATACCTGACTATTCATATGTTCCAAAGTCATCTTTTTTCGTTAAAAAAACTAACGGTCATCTAAAATGGACGTTAACATGTTGATTGGTATATGATAGTCTTTCAAGATTCTAAGATTAGATTTTACCACATTCTAGTCAGCAGGTTAACGTCTAACTCATATTGTAGTCAAATTTTAACGGAAAATGACAAGTTTGGAACATATGAATAGTCAGGAGACTATTTTGTAACTTTTAATAGTCGGGGGACTCAATAAAATAATAACCTAAAGTCAAGAAACTATTTTGTAATTTTTAATAGTTAAGGGACTCAGCAAAGCATTATCCAATAGTTGAGGATCATTTGTGTACTTTACCTATAAAAACACATAATATAACAAATCTCTAATAATTGATAAAATAATTATTTTAGTAATTTTTTAAAACATTTTAACTTCTAACATTTTATTTTGAGGTAAAATTGTATGTCATTGGATAAAAACCGTTAGTTGAGTTACAATCTAACGCTTGTTAACTTAATAAGTCTTGCATGTCCAAAGTGATGACATGACATATGATATATGTATATAAGTAATGATGTGACACATACCACACATATATAAGTGATGATGTGACACATACCACGAGCACATAAGTAATGATGTATCATATACCACGTGTTCAAAATAATGATGTATCATATGCCACGTGTGTTCAAAGTGATAATGTGTTACATGCTACGTGTCCAAAGAATGACGTGGTATATATCACATGTATGTAAGTGACGATATAACACATGAAACATCATCACTTACATATATGTGGCATGTGACATGTGACACATTATTACTTAAGTAATCAACAAATTGATTACTTACATATTTTTATTAATTTAGTCTTTAATTTTAATTTTATTTAATAAATTTAATCATCTTATATGGTGGTGACACATATCACTAATTAAACAATATTGATCAAATGTATAATTATATCAATTATGTTAATTGCTACGATAGCTTGCTGCTTCTCCATCAAATGTTAACAATAAGATGTTAACAATAAGTGGTCTGCTTGACATCATTAAAATAGTTAAATGATTTGATTGCTAAAATTAAAAGATCCATGATTGAATTAAAATCTCTTATAATTAAATGGTCGCAAATGTAATTTATCCTAAACTTTTTTAATCAAATGTCCCTTTTTCGCATATGGTTACTATTATAACAATATAACAAATGAATAAAAATATACATCGTAACAAAATGTGTTTTTAATTTTTTTTAAATAATTATTTTGCATAAGATTAATATTATACCAAATGAACAAAAATCAATATCGTCAATTCGTCATGAAAGATGCTTTTTTTTCCTTCTAATTTTAAAAAATAATTGCATGAAAATATTATCACTTTGTCATTTTCTAAACAAGCGTTGACAAATTTATATTATTCAAAAGTAAATAAATTAACTAAAATATAAATAAATATTAAAGTTCCAATAGTATTTATATCAAAGTGCAACCACGCACAACAAGACAAATGGATCAAAGATATAAAAATATTAAAGTGAAAGTAAAAGATAGAAGCCAATAAATTGATCCAACAAAGTTTGCACTTTAATATTTTCCATAAAATAAGAAAATAATTAGGTGAATGATAAATATTGAAAACATATCTATAAATTTTAGCTTCTTATTTCGGGTGGGGATGGACTTAGATAAGTATAAACTATGTTGATCTCATCCATTAACTCGATTAGAGATGGGCACGAGACTCGAATTCGATGGGTTTCAATTAAACATGATCCGATCGAATCAAAATTTTTTAAAAAAATGGGTTCGAGTTAGGATTTTTTAGAGGTTATGTTCAAGTAAGGTCTTCGGATTTGGGTGAAAAATATCTGATCCGACCTAAAAAATTGTATTTTACCTTATATATTTAGAGATAATTATAATAATACATCTCTACATACTATTTTTCTCAATTAATACGTGTTTTTATTGAATAAACGTAATATTTTTAATAAATATATTATTTCGGGTATCTATAACAAAGTCCAACAACACAACAAAACAAATAGATAAAAGATATAAAAACATTAAAGTGAAAGTAAACAATAGAAGTCAATAAATTGATCCAACAAATTTTGAACTTCATTATTTTCCTCAAAATAAAAAAACGATTAGGTGAATGATAAATATCCAAAAACATATCTATAAACTTTAGGTTCATATTTCGGGTGGGGATGATTTTTTTACGGTTCCCAAATTTTCGTTTTGATTAATCTAAATCCACCTGTGGGTCACACACTTGATTTTGACGGGTGAGTCTTTAAACGGAAATTAATCTAGATCAACCTCGTTGGTCGGACGAAGTTACATATCATGTTAATCGTATTCATTAGTTTAATCTGAGTTCGATTTATTTCGATCCATACTTTTATCGTCAATGTTCTAAAACTAGATTAGCGATGAAACTAGTGAAATCATTGGTTTTCAATTTAACTAATGAAATTACTAGTTCAATAATAATTGTTTAACTAACAATTAATTAGTTTAGTAAAATGAAACAATAAATTTGTTAAGTAAAATCATGTGTTTGTATCCTTATGTTGTAAATGAAACAAATCGGATTGGGAGGATTCTCCCATAATAAATCTATACAGTATCAGATTCGAATTAATCGGTTAATAGATCAAATATCAATAATTAATTTGAAATAATAATAATAATACTAATAATTCTTTAAAAAATCTCCAACTAGAGAAAACATCAATACCATAGCTAATGGCTCTTATTTATACCATAACATAATATGTATATATAAGGACCAAGGAGAAGTTGTTGTCATGAGAAGTCGACTTCTAATTAAATGAATTAATTGCATCACATGTCCATAAATTATAACTCTCATTTTATAGTAGTCTTTAAACTTTTGAATATTCTAATTTCATCCTTAAACTATGATCTATTTCTAAATCGATCCTCAAATTTTTGAATATTACAATTTCATTCCCAACCCTCAAATTTAAACTTAAAAATTAAAAATAGCAATAATTAAATTATAGGTAAAGCATACAAATGGTCCCCTGACTATAAGATATTGCTTTATTAAGTCCATTGACTATTAAAAGTTACATAATGATTAATTGACTATTCATTATATTTTAAACTAGTTATTTTTTATTAAAAAATTAACGATCATTTGAGCTGAACTTTAACATGTTGACTGAGATGTGATAGTCATTTGAGATTATGAGATCAAATTTTATCATATCTTAGTTAACAGATTAGCGTACAACTTAGACTATCATCAAAATTTTAATGAAAAAGAACGAGTTTGGAACATAATGAATAGTCGAATGACTATTTTATAATTTTTAATAGTCGATGGACTTAACAAAGAAACTTCCGACAATTGGAGACCATTTTATAACTTTTAATAGTCAAAAGACTCAATAAAATAATATCCTATAGTTTGGAGATGATCTGTGTATTTTACCCTTAAATTAAATAGATTTTAATTTAATATGGATCTAAACTACCATTAGACTAATAAATTTGAGGGGGGCCGGGCCCCTCCCATGATGCATGTAGATCCATCCATGGGTTTAGCGTCATGTTTATATTGTATCATAATTTATCTTATATTTCACGTATTAAGTCATTTAATCTAAAAAATATATATTGCATAAAAAAATCTTTTAAAAATATATATTTGTTAAAAGATATTGGATCCATAAAATAAAGACATCAAATTTTCCTTAAAAACGAGAACACACACAATAATTACTATATAAAATCATTTTAAATATATTTTATATTTATTTTAGGCAAAAAGGCATAAGAGACCCTTGTATTTTTTAAAATAACCAATGTAGTCCTCATATTATTTTTCTCTCAGTGTAGCCTTCCAACTCAGAATATAAACTCAATTTGACCCTTTGACTAACGTTTTTTGTCGTTGATTGTTACGGTGTTGATGTGACAGTTCACGGTGCTGATATGACAGTATAGGGTGGTAGATTAACATGACAAATGACATGACATATTAGCTAAATTGGTAACTCAGAAATGGCATATAAACTGTCACATAAGCATCATGGACCGTCATGTCAGCACCGTGAACTGTCATGCCACTCTAATGATCATATTGAGTTTATTTTCTGAGTTGAAATATCATATTAAGAGAAAAAAATAATACGAGAACCACGTTGATTTTTTCAAAAGTACATGCACCTCTCATGTATCCTTGCATTTAGAATAATATTAAAAGCTCCAGTCTAAAACTTGAATAGTATTTAATTTAGGGTAGGTATACTTTTATGCATGTACGAAAATAACCTTTATGGGTCCTTACAAATTGAGAGGATTTACCAACAAAATATTTGTCTTTATCTATGTAATTGTAATTCACAGCCACGAAAAAATTAATTGTATATAATATTAAAAAATATATAGACACAAACTAGGGAAAATGTGAAACATAATTGTAAATACTGAATTTCTTTTATTATTATTATTATTATTTATGAAAATTTTATGATTTAATTACATCTAGTAACAGATTGATAACGATTCTTACTTTTT